CATTGTAAGTAAATCTGGAAGGGAAAAAAAAAGAGGTGATGACTTAGTTGGCTATGCATCAGGTTTAAAAAGCATGCCCTGGAACAATAGGGTCAAAATCTTAGAGGGTTCAGACTTTCATCCTTCCAGGATAGATACGTTGACTTCCCTGAAGTTTGCTGGAGTCATTGGGAGTAATTTTGAATGAAGCCTTAAAATCTGCGCTCCTCTCAGCTCTCTGTGGACATTCAAGACCACATACCACTTTTCATATGAGCAAGGGTCTGTACTTCCCAGTGTGATGAGTGCTGCTTATTTGCTGGCAATCTACCCTGGGAAAGAATGCATTTCAATTGTGCTGTATGCATATAGGACTGGATCCATGGCCCACTAAAGTAAATGGAAAGACTGACTTTAGTGGCCTTTGGATCAGGCCCGTAATAAACAATGTGCTATGGGATCAAAGGGGTTATATATTTTTGTACCATATTGCTTGTACATTGGCCTAAAACACAGGATGAGCACATTTTAAAAAAGTTAAAAGCACAATCTTTGAATTTAATAATGAACATAAAGTGGGACAAAATTGCAAACAAATGTATAATTGCCATTGATAAGTATAAGATGATCTGTTGTATCACAGTTACGGGATGTGGGACAGTTGGCAGCCGACTGGAAATGTTCTCATTGCCACCCAGAATGAATGAATGAATAAATGAAAAGCTTAATTTAGTTTCCACTCCCAGTCTCTCAATCCCTGTTGCAGTAAGGACACAGTGCAGCACCTTCACGCTGCAAAGGAATGAGAGTTCTTGCAGTGGTTCATGCTCTGGCCTCCCAGGCTAAGAAGAATCCTCCTCAGCTGAAAAGGCTGTGGGGCTAAGAAGGTATTACAGTGAGGGAATGAGGGTACACAGTGAGACTTCTCAGAACTTTGGTCAGGATGCAATGTGTGATGATTCCCAGGGCAGGCAGAGGTCCAGAAAGAAGGAATGGACGCTCAGGGGTTAGCAATCTGATCACTTTTATTAGTGGTAAACTTCAGGAACTGTTCCACATAGCCCTCAGAGTTCTCTGGTTTCAGACACACAAATATACATGCGTACACTCACACCACCATTCTGGAGTTTTCTTTCAGGCTTCCATGTACTGCTGCATACCCTTGAGATCTTCTGCCTGTAAGCCTCGCACTAGATTCCTCCTCAAACTACCACCTAGGCTCAGCTTCTGTCTTCCTCAACCATTCACAACAGCCAACTGCACATTTAGGAAGACAACCCAAGCAGCTGCTGAGAAGTTCTGAGGAGATGTGGCCACGCAAATGAATGGTACCTCCTGAATTGTCTCTTTGAAACTAGAGTTGATCCTAATAATAGGATAATGAGTTCATTACTTATCTCCTCTCCCTAAGAAAAGTACCATTCCCAAGGCTCAATAACTCCAAAGAGACCAGCAGGCTGGCTCCCCAGTTCCAGGATTTGATCTAGCAAATGCAGAGAGACTGATGTCACTTGCCTCTCGGGAAGGAACAAGATGGTAATTTATTACTCTTTACATCCTGTGTGCACACACACTCATCTCCTAGTGTGGCAGGAGTCCCTCGGGGACTGTCCCTGAGGTTTTCAACTTTGGCCATTGAATACAACTTGAACAAGCAATGAAGTCTAAAACCTGTTTAAGTGACAAAACAATTCGCAACCCAAGTAAACATTTTAAGATAAGAAAAGGATCATTTTGGTGACAAGTAGGAAAAAAGATAGGACATTTTGGTATAAGGGTAAGATTTTTCATTATCTGCACACCCTTCATCCCAGGCAAAGCAGCTGGTAGGAATCACTTCTTCAAGTGCTGCTCTATGGCCTTGAAAGCAAAGATCTTCCTACCAAACCATTCAAAGCTGCACGTTACTTATCTTTCTTTGGGGACTTCAGCCTGCAGATAAACTTGTAATAGACTTAACTGCAAGAGCTTGCAGGTGCCACTAGATAGATATGCAGCTTCAGATGGGAGCAACAGAAATCTCACAGAGGATTATTGGAACACCAACAGATAAAAAAATTGGGGACAAGAACCGGACTATCAGAAAATAAACTAGAAGGCCAATTCTGTTCTTAGATGGTGACTGGAATGGGATTTATACCCATGCATATAGAGGCAGACTCAGGCCCTAAGTAATGCAAAGAGAACGTGCAATATATTCTCAACGCTTTGTTTTTTCTTGTGCCCTGTCGTCCAGATGTAAACTGTGAAATACATCCAAGTTCCTTAGAAAAGGAAGTGTTGAGCCAGGCGGTTCAGGCTGAGCTGTTGCAGTTATCACTCCACTGAAAATGAACAATAAATTCAAATAACACAGACTGTGCTCATTTAGGGATCCTTCTGAGTTCTCTTTTTCCAGCTCCCACCCCCACAGTCTCACCTCTCCCCCTTTACTATAAAGTTCTGGTGTCCTTTACTATAACGATTGGAAATCACAGATTACTGTTTTAGAGGCTTAACTGATTCTCAGTGTTTTCTATGT